AAACTTCCTCATTTTTGTGTAGTTCTCCTTTCTGAAATTAAATGCTACAGTGTTGGGCCGCTGTGGTGTTTTCCCCACCACAGGGATGTTAAATTTAATTATATTATGGTCACTATTACCAAGCGGTCCAGCTATATTCACCTCTTGGACCTGATCCTGTGCTCCACTTAGGACTAACTCAAGAATTGCCTCTCCTCTTGTGGGTTCCAGGACTAGCTGCTCCAAGAAGCAGTCATTTAAGGTGTCAAGAAACTTTATCTCTGCATCCCTGAGGTGACATGTACCCAGTCAATATGAGAATAGTTGAAATCCCCCATTATTATTGAGTTTTTTATTTTAATAGCCTCTCTAATCTCCCTGAGCCTTTCACAGTCACTATCACCATCCTGGTCAGGTGGTCTGTAATGTATCCCTACTGCTATATTCTTATTATTCAAGCATGGAATTACTATCCATATTGATTCTATGATATAGTTTGGTTCATTTAAGATTTTTACTTCAATTGATTCTGCGCTTTCTTTCACATCTAGTGCCACTCCCCCACCAGCACAACCTGTTCTGTCCCTCCGATATATTTTGTCCCCTGGTATTACTGTGTCCCATTGATTATCCTCATTCCACTAAGTTTCTGTGATGCCTGTTATATCAATATCCTCATTTAACATGAGGCACTCTGGTTCACCCATCTTATTATTTAGACTGCTAGCATTGGTATATAAGCACTTTAAAAACTTGTCACTTTTTAGCTGCCTGCCATTACATGATGTAATTGAATGGGACATTTTTTCATTTGACGGTTCCTCATCAGATCCTACCCATATTTTATCATCTTCCATCCTCTCCTCCTTACTAGGACATAGGGAATCTCCACTTAGAGATCCTCCCCTAAGGGATATCTGAACCACATACTCCTCTTCACCTGTCATTTTGAATGAAGGGGTTGAACCCTGGTGTATTGTCACCTTGTGCTGCCAGCTCCCCTGGTTAACAATCATAATGACAATATCTTACACTTCGATAACCCTTCTTATCCTGGAAGGTCCAAAGTTCTTTGCAAACTCTGTGTGTGCAGCAGTCATTTCACATCTTTTTGACGCAGAAGGCAGACGGCCATTGAAAAGCCTGCTGCTATCTGACACCCGTGTTTGGGACAGGAAATGAAAAGGGATCCCATATCTAATTGTAGCAACAAGGGAAAGCGTTGGATAAGTAGAATGGAATTTGATCAGGGAATCAGGATCACGAGTTAACCCTTCTGCAAAGTTCCAGAGGAACTTTAAAGAGCACAAGTGGACAGAACCGCTGTCTGTCATGGAAAGCAGCAGCACCTCTGCCACCACACAGTCCTGACTCTGAAGTGGAGAGCCATCTACTGACTCACCGACCCCACTTCTTCCCAGGGTCTCTGCTCCAAGTGCTGACCAGGCATGACCCTACTTACCTTACAAGGACAGGCAAGATAACAGCCCACAGTGGTAGTGGTGCAGGCAGTCGCGTACTGGGAAACCTTTGATCCAAGGCAGGTGAAGCAATAAAAGACATGGAGCAGAGAAATGTGATCTGCATTCAGAGTATTACAATAAATACAAAACTGAGAACATTGTGTAATTTCACTGGCTGTTGCTTCTCCTCTTTACTCTCCGTTCCCTTTTAACTATATTTTGGAGAGCTGGTCGTAATTTCTTACTCTACAGATATTCTCTTGGAACTTCTTCTATCAGCTGATTGCATTTAGCTTTGTAATAACTAAAGTTTTATAAACGATGGTATCCAAAGCAAACTTCAGTACAGGATCCATCTAGGACAGACATGCACCTCACCTGCTACGGCACCTTTTGTCTGGGCATCTCAGAACTCGGTCTAAAGGGAGCAGCATAACACCTCTGCGAGGTAGGTATTCTTCTCCCCATTTTGCAGATGGGGAAACTGAGTCACGGGAGTAATGGGCCTGATATAAAGCCCACAAAAGTCAATGGAAAAACTCCCATTTACTTCACTCCAGAACCTAAGGGACTTGCTTCAGGTCACACAGCAGAGCCAGAAACACAACCCAAATTCCCTGATTCCACCAGCCGGTGCCCTTAACTATAAGACCATCATTCCTCACCCAGCTCCTAGTTGTCTGCTCGCCCTGCCAGGAAGTCAAGGTGGGGGGGGGGTGTTGCACATCTTCCAACCCTCTCTCCCTGGGGTGCTCCCTGGCATGCAATGGGATCACTCCTAGTCCTCCTCACTTGGGAGTTGAAGCCTTCAAAGTTGTTTTAGATGGGAGGGAATTTGAATGAGGAGAAATTGGGGGTCACCTCTCAGAGCACCACATGGGGAGCAGAATTATCGGCTGAGGAGTTATAAGAGGAAGCCAGTAAGATGGGGGTGGTTGGCATTAATATAAGGTAAGCCAGGCGTGCTGCCTAATAAATAACCAGGAGAGCCCAGCAGCTGAATTCCTCTGTGTTTTAATCAATATTTCATTGTTTTTCATGTACAAAATTATTACACTAAAACAAACATAACAAGCATATTAAATAAAAGCCTAAAATGCAGAACCCTCCTGAGTAGTCAATTAATAATATCAAATCACTGACTAACATATATAATGCATTACTATAGTAACCATTATCTTGCATAGGGAATTAAAATATTAAAGCGGCAGACAGGTGCTGCTACCTCAGGAGAAATGAATAAAACAAAACAAATAAAGGAAGTGAAGCCCTTGAAAATCAATCGATTGAAAATCACATTACGTGTTGCTATTGTTCCTTCTCCAAGCTGGTGGGTACTGGGGGTGCTGGAGGAGGTGGTATTACCAGTTAACATTAAGAAATGGCTTGCAGTAACTGTTTTAGTGGGCAAAACAATTATTTTGAGAAAATGGAAATCTGCAATTCCTCCGCTCCCTCACACACAGACCGGCTGAGTGAGCTCTCTACTACTGCATTAATGGAAAAAATGACTCTGTCTAATAGAAACGCTTGGAAAAAAATATGAGGACGTCTAGTCACACAAGAAACTATTGCATACGTTTGCAGCTTAGTATATATTAGTCCCTGATGCTACGTTCTGACTTATTTTTTTATTTAATCACTTTAATAATTGATGCCCTGCATGATCTCTACAGGTTCAGGGTTTTTTGTTTTTCTCTCCAGGTTTTACAAATAGTGACATTGAATTGTGTGATTTATAGGCTGTTTCCATCTTGTGCATATATTCAGAGGGGGTTAGGTTTTGTTATGTGTTGGCATTTGATATAAAAACAATAAAAATAAAGTTAAAGAAAAGAAAAAAATCAATTGGGCCCCAGGGACCCAGCCCATGTTCATTGCACATACCTGCCCTGACCGCAGGTGGGGCAATTCCTAAAGTTTTATTGTTTCACTTGAATGTGGCAAAGGATTCAAGGATGGAAGTAGCACAATGAAAGGGGAAAAGGAATGAAACCAGGGAGAGAGGAAAATTAGAGGGAGGCTCATACGTTTGCTCCCCCATGTTTCCCATTTCCCCAGTCACCTGTTACTTGGATCAGACCTGTGCTGCAGCCTAATGGGAGCTTCCCAGCTCGCCCATTTCCTTCTGTGCCCTGCTTCCCGGCCAGCCCTGCACTGCACCATTGCAAGAGTTCCCTGGCTTTCGTCTCTGCACTCCGCTTAGACCTGTGTTGTGTTGTTTCAGTGCTCCACTCAGACCTACCTTGCAGCATCACGGTTCTTGTCCCCTGACTCCATCCACTGCTCTGCTACCCCACTCAGCCTTGCCCTGCACCTTTACAAAATTCCCCTCATTTCCGATTTTCCACAGTGTTCCCAGATCAGCCCTGCCCTACAAAGTTGAGGAAGATCCTTTCCCATCTCCCCTGTCTTACCCCGTTTCCCATTTCAGACCTGCATTCAGGATTCCCCCCCGCTTTATCGATAGATACAGGCCTGTGACAAAAAGCTCTTCCACTGGGAAGCAAAAGGGGAGGACATTGGGAAGCAAAAGGACAGCCAAGGTTGACTCATGCAACATAGGGATGAGATGTGAATTAGATGCATGCACATCAATTATCTTAAAGAGTCCCCGCACATTTCTTCTGGGTTTAGAACAGCTTCCCGGTTTTACTGTGTTTGTCTTTATCTTTAATAAAAAGAGCTCAATAAAACACTATTGGATGCACCTCGGCAGCCCCTTCACTGCTCCTGCACAACTTCCTCGCACTTTTCTGTGTCAACTTGACTTTAGTCTGTCTTAGGGTTTTACCCTCCCACCCATCACCCTAGTAACTGAGTGCCTTCTACATATAATCAATGGCAGTGGTGAAGTCCCTGGTGGAGACGTTCTCACTGACTTCAGTGGGCTTTGAATCGGGCTCTTAGTCTCTCTGGAGAAGTTTTAGGGTTGGTTAGTGATTTTGGATGCCCGGCTAGACATACCACGAAGGGGCCTGATTTTCATAAAGCGCTGAGTACCCTGTCCCCTGGAGTCACTTTTCATTGGTAGCTCTCAAAGGGCTTCACAAAGGAGATTATCTCTGTTTTACTGATGGAGAAGTTCAGAAATAGAGAGAGGAAGAGACTTGCCCTAGGTCAACCATCAGGCCAGTAGCAGTGCCTGGAACAGAGCTCGGGTCACCCACGTTCCCATCCGCTTCCCTGTCCATTCGAACGTGCTGTCTCTTATTGGCATCAAGCCCATTTTTAGCTGCATCCACAAAGGACACAGACTGTGCTGTCGTCAGGCCGGATCATCCCGGAATGGTATACCAGTACTTTTGTCTGCATGGAGGGTGCCATTTTGTTCTCAAAATGGTGTTCCCACTCAGCGTGGTGTGTGCGAGGACACATAGAATGGAGGACTCCATTGGGTAGAGCAAAATGGCGTCCTCTACATAGCTTGTGTGTGAGGTAACGTTGGCGGGGGTGTTCTAGTAGGTGCCCATTCTGCACTACACTGCTGGATTCTTACTCTCGTATTTAGTTTTGCAAAGGATTCTGATGAGCGTTTGTTCCTTTTCCTCCACTCAGGCTCCATTTCATGGTTTTCCACACGGAGGAATTCCACGACGTTCTGAGGATATGGGATGGGCCGGTGGAGAA